TCATAAGGCAAACGCAAGCAGTCGTGCCAGAATCTTCTCCCGGCGTTTCTAACCCTCCTGGGATGCATCCAACATCCTAGAATCACATGGTAGATCTCAAGTTCAAGATAACTTACTAAGAACTGAGCCTAAACTTAGCTCTTACCCTAACTGCAAACCACCATGAACAAATTAACATAATCCATTGATAAAACTGCACATAAACTTTCGAAAGATAGCTATTAGCACTAAGTTCTTCATGATAACTTGTATTAGTTACCACTGAAGATGTCGTGTCAGCTGAAAGAACGGACTCACTTCAGTATCGTCATCAGAATCACACTCATCCTCATCCTCACATTCCTCGTCTTCTGCTTCTTCTTCGGCTTCGTTGAAGTCGGAATCATCTTCGGAATCTTCATCATCTCTTAAACAGCATTTTGAACCATTACAACACTTGGCAATGAGAATTCGAAAGGCACTAAAAAATTTTGTTTCAGCCAAAAATCCACTGTTGCTATAGCTTTTGTAACAATGGGTGAAGAAGCTGATGACAATGTCGGTTCAATCGGGAAGTGCTTTGAGACAACTCAAAACACTCGACTTAAAATCGTGAACCATGCTGGAGTAAAAATATATATGCATGTGAAAAAGAAGATTAATATAAGGCATTGCAATTGTAAACCTAAAAATAAACAACGAAGAATTGTAATGATAAAGAAGGAATAAAAAATTTTGCATATCTTTTCTTGTAAAAGTCATAAGGAAAATGTAAACATGGTGCATATCGAAGCTATTTTACGCAATGATGGGAACTGATTTCGATTTAGACGTTCAGAAATATAATGTGAAATTGCCAAAATTACCAAATTATTGTGCAGGTTCAGAAAATGAAAAAGGCATTCAAATGGAGAAAGGTTGGTAAAAGGAAATGCGAAAACTCACATGACTCCGTCTTCTGTACCTCCACCCGGCTTCTTTTCAGCATTTATCGGTATTTTCTTTTGCTTTGACTTTATCAACAGTGGGGTATTCTCTTCAACGCCATTTTTCTCCTCAGCTTTATCGCCATCGTCTCGCTCAGCTTTGTCGCCATCGCCTCGCTCAACGCTTTCTTCTTCGTTTTTAATCTCCTCCGTCGTGTTGTTGCTATCGCTAAAAACCGGGTTTAATCTGATTTACACCAAGTATACAAGAACCCACCTCACAGCGGATGATTCGCTAGGAGTTACATCGGGAACCACAGAATCGGAGCTTTCAATGGTCAGGCTTTCCTTGGCCTTCGATTCAGTCACCGTATCACCATTGCCTTCATCACTTTCGGAATTGATCAGCATATTTAACAAACTTCCTAGAAAGGATACCCAAACATTTGATCCAATCCCACCTTCATCATCTCGGAAATTTTTACGCGCAACTTACCATTTCCCTCCTTACCATTTCCCTCGGTCTTCGCTCGCTTGGCGGGCTCTTGAGTGGGCGATCTGCTTTG